GTGATGGCACTAATGTGCTAATAAACTTGCAACTGATGATCAGTGAAGGCTAATCATGGCAAATGTGATTGAAGGTGTGTGATAAAAATGCGGTGATGCATATGCGCTGATGTTAGCTCATATTGCGTGACACTGATGATAAGACTGATATGAAATGTTAGTCAATTTACAGGTCAAAATTAGTAGGGTTTGCATTCAAATATTAATTCAAAACACACTGACAAATAAAAAATGGAATCACATAATAAAATGCAGAAATTTTTGAAAAATGTTTAGCTAACTAAATTGTTGTTTCGGGATTTCGTACAACAACAATGGCGGTAGTTTTGCAACATTTTGTGTTTATTTACTTTTTCAGCTATTTTGACAAGTTTACTATTTCAACAATTTTATTTTTTTAAAAACCGCATTTTAAAAATTGAAATGTATTTGGCAAATGAGTATGACTGCAAACGTAGGCAGCTCAAGTACTACGCCGGATATGCATTGCAACTTTTTCCTGCTTCGCTTTGTCAAGAAGGTAACTCGGAACTTTGTTTGTTCACCTTTACTAACAGCGAGTTTATTTTTTTCAGGAGCTTTACAGTGCCTAAAATGAACACTGGCATATTAGCGAGTCAAAATCATCATCAGGAGTGATTGACAAACTAAATTTTCATTTGATATAAATAACCATTTTAAAAATTCCAATAATTTTAAAAATATATTTTTGTAATATTTCAATACAACATTATATTCATATAAACAGACATTCAATTGCTTGACAAGCAATAGCTTTGCGATTCTCTTTAGCAATTCGGTCTTTCATTTGTTGCAATTTTAATGTCAGTTGCTCATCAGCAAGTAGTCGATCGATAGATTTAAGAAGTTCTGCCTTTTCAATCTTGTATGGATTGAACGAATCTCCATAGCCCTTTTCTTCAATGCGAGCCCCATTGTCGAGTTGATCGGCAAAAAGCCCCAAAACGATCATTTTCTTGCCAAATGCAAGGCATTCAGTGAATGTATTATTGCCACCGTGTGTAATAACCAGATCGACCAGTGGGCGAATGGCTGTTTGAGGAAGGAACTGCTCTCCCCAGCAGTTAGGCGGCAGGTCATATTCACCAGCACGAGGACCCTTTGAAACAATGAACTTGTAGGGAGTTTGGGCAAAAATTGACAAAAACTTCTTCATCAAGTCAACGTCAATGCTGCCCATTGAGCCCATGCTAAAGTATATCAACGCCTTTCCAGGCATGCCTTCAAGTTCTTTGGGAATTGTAAACGTTTCTGTTTCTTGTCGGCAAAATGCGTCAATTTGAAGAAAGTTTTCTGGCATTGGACTAATGTCAGTGTAGCACAATTCCTTTGGGTAAGCGTAAATGTTCAAATACGGTGAATACTCAAAATCCCACATTGTTGTTGTGGTCGCAGGCACTGGCGGATTATATCCAAAGTGATCATTCAATTGATTTTGATATCCTCTAGTTATTTTGAAAAACTCATTTGCAAGTTGAATCATCTCAGTCCAAGTCGCCGGGTCACTGTCAGTCCGATAACCTGCAATGAAATACAAACATTTTAGAACATTTAAAACTAAAACAGTTGTCATGCAAACCTGAACAGCCAGGAGGAAGATTAGGAGATTTCTGTAAAAAGATAGGATTTCCACTGAATAGATTAACGTACTTAATGCCTTTCATTGGAACAACTGGAGGCACATAGCAGTGATCAAATATAAACAAATCTGGGCTTTCTTCATCAATGATTTTTTCAAAAACAGGACTTTTCTTTATCACCGAATCATAATGCTGTGAAAACCAATCCATTTTGTTCATTAATTTCATTTTCTCAACAGCACTGTTTGGACCAAGCATTCCCAATGAAAGAAGTTCATCTGCAACTGTTTTGATGGGATTATCAGTTGTTGAGTGATTTTTCTTTTTTATGTTTTGTTCTGTTTCTGAAAAAATAATTTCACGACAACCATATTTTTCTGCTTGACTTTTAAAACTTGAATTTAAAAAGAATGTAATTTGATGACCACGACTGACAAGTTCTTGGGCCAACCCATAACAAGCGGCAAGATGACCCGCGCCGTCAAAGGAAAAGAAATAAATTTTTAATTGTTTCAAAGTTGTCATTTTAAAGGTTAACAAAAACTAAATTATTCATAAAAATAAAAAACTTTAATAGAAAAACTGAATGACAACGTTTGTATTAAAAAATTATGTCATTAACTTTTTGTTTTTAAGTGCAACAGTACTACAACATTGCGTAAACAAAAAATAAAAAATTGCGACTGCCCAGTTTACACTTAACCAATACTTTTATTTAAAAAAAATTTGAAAATATTTGTTTTTTTGTTTGCCATTTTAAATACAAATTAAAAAATAAAAATAATGAGTTTTAAAAAAGTGATATTAGTTTTCAACAGTGTGGTATAAAAACTTAGAAATCATAAAACATGATTAAAAAAGTTAGAATGAGTCCAAATTAGTCGATTTTTAATGACAATTAAACAAAATGAAAATTGACAAATTGTTTTTCTAAAGAAATGTACTTTTCAATTTATAATTGTAATCAATTATTTATTTTTAATTATTATAAATGCGTTAAAACTTTGCAACGAGTAAATAGAAAACATTGAATAATTCTTTGAATTAAAAATAAATAGAATTGTCAAAATTAAAGTTACTTTGGATATAAAATGTTTTGTGAAAATCAATATTTTGCGTATTTTGTTTTAATTTTACACTTGATGTTCATTTTCAAAAAAAACTTTTGATTGTAACTCTCATCTTAAGTACTAAACAAAATGAATTTTCTTTTATATTACTTGCGACCGTTTAAATCATTAGAATATCTCAGCAAATATTTTTCAGCTTGCCGACTAATTTTTCAACGTAACCAAAAGTTATTGACTCAAATTCGATTTATTCAGTATCATATTTTGGTAAAAAGCATCCATTATGCTTTTTTATATTTTACTCGTTCAAACAATGTTCAAGCTTTTACTGTTTATGACGACACTTATATGTACAATGCTCAAAAGGAAATAATGCAATTGGTTTATTTTTTAATGTGCTTTTTAACAATTTATTTTTATGAAAAAATGTACATAAATCCCAATTTATTTTTGGTTGACTTTTTGGAAGAGATGATATTTAAAAAACGATCAAAATTATTTGTTGTTAAATCGCTTAAATTGTTTGAATCTATCCGAAGTTTAGCCAAAGCAATTATTGTTTTCACACAAACTTACATAATTACAATTGGTAATTAAAACTTTCTAATATTTGCATAACAATGTTTTTATTTTTAGAAATTCTTGCAGTACTGATTGAGTTGACATTGTTCAAAATTTTATTAGAAAATTATCGCTTTTTTATATTCACAACATCAGGATATATTTGTATTTTGTCACATTTTTTGTTTTTCATCCTAAGTTTTAGTTTTTATTTCCCATTTGTTCACATTCTTTCATTAAGCAATGTTGTTATTACAACGTTTTTAAAATGTCTTCATGCCAAGGCACACTTAAATGCACGTTTCCTTTGGAGCGTTAAACAATCTTTTGATTGGACAAAAATTGTAAAATTTAGACAATATCAAACAGAGCTTCTTCAACTAGTCACTCAATTGAATACATTCTCATGTAAACTCATCTTTTCGTATTTTTTTCTCAATATTCCAATAAATGCCTACTTTTCTGTTCTTCTTTTACAAGGCAAAGTAACTGGCGGTAGTGCATTTATTATTTCTGTGTTTTGTTTAAGTCAGATAAACGGAATTATGGCTATTCATTTGTTTGCAGCTTTGTTAAGTAGTGCAATCCACAAACCGGGAAAGGTGCTTTTATCAATTGCATGTCAAATCAATGGAAATTTGGCCAAATTGCAAGCTGAACATATTATTGAAGCTTGGCACACCAAAAATCCATATGGACTAATGTATGGTAAGTGTTGGTTATGCTCAAAAATGAAAAACAAATGATCAAGTTTTTTTTATTTTAACAAACATAAAATAACTACAATGAATTACAACAGGCAAATATGGATTAATCAGTTTGAAAGCCTTTTACAAGGTTAGCAAACAATGAAATTGAAAATTAGTTTGATAACTATTTTATTTACAGTACATGGTCATTTATGGTAAATTAATTATAATAAGCTATAAAATGTTAAATCGTGTTTGAAAATAGAAAAACATCAATAAAATTTATGTTTTAAGCAACAAAAAGTAAAAAACTTTTAAATAAAAACAATATCGTTCTGAGTCTCAACTGCAAACTTTCAATGTGTAAAGTGTAAAGTGTAAAGTGGCGTCACAAACTAAATTACTGTACGAGCCGCCAGATAGCAGCCTAGTCTTCGTCTGTTTTCCCTGAAGTGATTTGCTGCAAACGGCTTTTTACTTAGGAGGCGGAGCTTCATTGCACTACCACGAGTGCACTCAGTGCTGCCTAGTGTGCACAGCCTGTGCCCGCCCTCACCACCGCCAGGCTGCACTGTTTACACTCATGGGGCGCACAGTGTGCTCGGCGTGCTGAGCGTGCTTTGCGTGCAGCAACAGCAGCAGCAGCCGGCTGTCAGTCTACCAGCGACCGTTGCAGAGTGAACAAGTGATAGCAAGCAACACAACACACTGACACACACACAGAGGCAGATTGTGAGCAGAGCTCGAGCAACCAGCGACGACAACTTTGGCGATACCGACAACCCTCTCCCCCCTCGGGCACGATGGAGCCCAAGCATGCGTTCAACAGGGCGATCAAGCGCTATGCCTCCTCCAGTGCCCACACCTCCAAGGCGATGCTGGCCGCCAGTACCCCCAAGCAGAAGGAGACGGCCGGCACGTTTAAGCGGCGCCGAAAGTTTCTCACCAGCGCCCTTCAGTCAAATGACGTCTACTTTATCACGCCCTACCGCCACCAACACCAGTCATCCACCGCCTCCTCGCTGACGTCCTTCGAGTCCAGTCCAGAGCAAGAGGAGCCGAACACCGCCAACCTCACGATGATGGAGAAGGTGAAGCTCACCTCGTGGGGCTTTCCCGAAAAGATCGTCGACTTCTACCGCCGCAAAGGAATACACGAGTTCTTCGAGTGGCAAGTGCAATGTCTGGACCTTCCGGGCGTTCTCGATGGCCGCAACCTGGTGTACTCTGCGCCGACCAGCGCCGGCAAGACCATGGTAAGCGACGTTCTGCTGTTCAAGACGCTGCTGGAACGAAAGAAGAAGGCCATCATCATTCTGCCCTTTGTCTCCATTGCCGTGGAAAAGGTCAACTCAATGAAGCAGCTGCTCCGACGAATGGGCATCCGCATTGACTCCTTTGCTGGCAACTCGAATCCCCGTGGTGGCTTCGACCAGGTCGACGTGGCCGTCTGTACGATTGAGAAGGCCAACAACATGATCAACAGGTTTGCTGTGGCAGGTTGTCTGATAGTTTATGTACATTTTTCTAATCCCTCTCACATTTGCAGACTCACCGAAGAGAACAAGCTCTCCGAAGTGGGCATCGTCATCGTTGACGAGCTGCACATGATCGGCGACGCCAATCGCGGCTACCTGCTCGAATTGCTGCTCTCCAAGCTGCTGTACATCAACCGCAAGGACCGGGAGGCAGGCGGCGACACTGTGCTGCAGATCGTCGGCATGAGCGCCACCATTCCCAATCTGGCGGACATTGCCCAGTGGATAGACGGCGAGCTCTTCATCACCGACTTCCGCCCGGTGCCGCTGTACCAGCGAATCGTCTACAACGGCGAGGTTCGCCAGGTGGACGAGGTCGTCCTGCAGCAGCAGCAGCAGCAGCAACAGCCGGTCACTGAAGAGACCGCCCTGGTGCTGCACAGCAAACTGGCGCTGGCCGAGTTGGCCATCAAGCAGGACGACGCGCCGCTGATCTACTCGGCCATTGAGACGCTGGTGGAGGGCTACTCCGCCCTGGTGTTCTGCTCGACGAAGGCGCTCTGCGAGCGCACCAGTCGCTCCATCGCCGAGAACATCTACGAGTTTGGCGCCGGGAAGAAGGCGGCCAGGGGGGAGCGCGTGGCGGCCATCGGCCGCAAGCTGACGGAGACGCTGGACGGAAAGCGAATTCTGGCGGTGATACAGAGCCTGAAACGGACCGCCATGGGCATCGACCGGAACCTCGAGTCGGTGATCCGCTTCGGGGTGGCCTTCCACCACGCCGGCCTCAGCACCGAAGAGCGAGCGATCATCGAGAAGGCCTTTCGCGACGGCACCATTCGCATTCTCTGCTCGACGACCACCCTTTCAGCGGGCGTCAACCTGCCCGCCCGTCGGGTGCTGATCTCCACGCCGCTGGACTTCAAGGGCGCCATGCTGGACACTACCTGCTACCGACAGATGGTCGGCCGGGCGGGCCGGAAGGGCATCGACAACCTGGGCGAGTCGATGCTCTTCTGCCGAACGGCCGCCGAGTACCAGCGAGCGCTCAAGTGGCTCGTCTTTGCGGATCTCTCGCCGGTCAAGTCCTGTCTGCTCGCCGTCTCGCAGCAGTCTAGTCAGCCGGAAACGACGACAACGACAGCGACGACAACCAAAACAGGTGAAGCAGGTACTTCCACTTCTGCCACTGTCACCGCTTCGCCAGAGCAGCCGACGATCAAGGTGTCAGACAACTTTAAACGAGCCATTCTCGAGGTGATCTCCAACGGCACCGCCACTAACTACGCCGACATTGTCCTTTACGTCAAGTCCACCTTTTTCCAGGCAAACTACGGCAGCATTATCGACCAGCAGACAGAGCAGCCTGAGCAGCAGCCACTGGCTGAAGGTTCGCCGGGGTCATCGCTGCTGAACAGCGTCCTCGACCAGGTGTTCAACTACCTGATCAGCTACAAGCTGATCTACATCAGCAATGGCAACGACTTCCGCGACAACAGCAAGCTGATGATATCGCCGCTGGGAAAGGCGATCGTCGCCTCGGGAGTCTCTCCGGAGGACGGCCAGTTCATCATGCGAGAGCTGGACAAGGCTCGCCGCTCGATGTGCCTCGTCAATGACCTGCACCTCATCTACCAGGTGACGCCGGTGTACCTGGCCGACCAGCTGGACAACATCAGCTGGGAGAACTACATGAACAACATCTTCCTCAAGCTGGACGACGACTGCC